TGGCATCATATTTTAATTTTATAAAATAAAAAAAAATGCATTTATTCTTGGTTTATGTAAATCCATTATTCAATATTTGGGGTTGGCCCACCCTTGCTCTTGTAGTCTCAATTGTAAATATCAATTATGTTTTCCCTGTTAAATTATACAAAAATACAAAATATTGTAAAATTACCACAATTCATTAATTTGGAAAAAGAAGTCAAGCACATTTGAGCACAATGTAAAATATTCTGCACAGGTTCAATGTTGCCAAATAATATACTTTTGTTTTTTCTGGAATAAATATATTGAATTTAAATTTTAATAAAAGTATACCTACTTCATATGAGTTACTATTATTTTTTGCGCTTATAGATTGAAAGCAAAAAACAATAGTAACTCATAAGAAGTATACTCTTATTAAAATTTAAACTCAATATATTTACTCCGCAAAAAAAAAACAAATAAATGAATTTTGGTCATTATACAATATTTTATATTTTTGTATAATTTACTTAACAGGGAAAAAATTATTGGTATTTACAATTGGTTTATGCATTTTATATAACTGAGGCTTTTTATGACCTTGTTTTTTCGGTTTTTATGTTTCTGTAATAAAAAACAGTTAAGTTTTTCCTTTTTTCATTTTTCAGGTTGTCCAAAAAAAATGTTTAGCGACTCTTCTAATGTAAAACAAATACCCTTATTTGGACTCAGTTAAACACAGGCAAGAGTTTCATATCCTTCACTTTGAATTTTTTGAATTTTCTATTAAAAAGATATGTAGAGTACTATCCTGATGAATTTCGATAGTATGAAATCTTTTAATTGTATCATATTTATCTCATCAGAAAATTCATTTTCCATGTCCAAAAGTTGCATTTTCTCAGTCTTAACTTTCCCCAAAGAGTTTTCAAAAACTTAACCAAAGGAAAGTTTGATTTAATATTAATTAAAATGGCATTTTTATAAAAAGAATTTTTTTTCCAACCATTGTGAACTAGTTAAATAATTTAAATAATTGAGTTACAAAAGTTTACAATGTCATATGCCAAACACTATACACTAAATAGAATTTTCAGTCATCTTGTCAAATAATTAAGAAACACATGCCAATGTAAGTATTGCTGAATTATTGTTTCTACTGCAAAATTGAATTAATTTCTTATTCACACTATAATTATTATAGTTAATCAAACTGTGAACTCTGGACTGTATATAATTGTTCTTTTTTGTCATGATACATCTTATAAATATCACAATTGTTTAGGAAGTATAAAGTTATTTAGATTTTGATTAATTTGATTAATAAGAAATTATTTTGTAAGTTCAAATAACTAAGATATTATTAACTTCAAATAGTAGGGCAGTATCTTATATTAAAAACATGTACAGTATGTATGCCAGAAAAATTATTCTCAGAGGTTAATTATATTTCTCATTCATTAATCATCTCAATGAGCACTGCAAATTAAAATTGTATAATACTTAAATATAAATACCATAATAACAGAATGTACCTATTTCTGGTAATTATCTCATCATCTAGAGGTATTTAAAAATAGTTAAAGAACTAACTATTATGTCCTCCCAAATTTATATTTAATTGGACTGATAATATTGACCATCTATTATTTGCAGTAGTGATTCACACAATTTTTAAAATTTTCAAGGAAGATACACTCATCAACCTTTTTGATATGCAGGAGGGAGGGGCAATTCAATGTCTCTTTTAATTAATATGCTTTAGATGTTACGTATATGGCATTTAGGTGATAGAAATTTATTTTGTACTTCATTTATTAAATTGTACGTAAAATAGAAAAATAACTTTAAATAAACATCTTGGCAGGAGAGATAAAATTCAACAAGTTGCACTTAAAAAATGAATACACAAGCCTTGATTTATTGTAAATATTTGATTTTGTAAATATTTACCTATTCCATAACTATTTTCATCACTCACTGGCTTCCAACTAGTCATGGTAATAAAATTCTAAAGTTTAAGTTATTTATACACAAAAACTAATCACAAACAAAAACACTGGAAGACATGTTGAATTATGAATTCAACTCAATCTCAACATGAATGATTCAAGTCATCTACAAGATCACAAAACAACACTAGAGCAGGGCTAGAACTTGACGCTTGTGCGGTTCTGATAATTATTTTTGTACTTGAGAACACGTAGTGAGACGCTCTGGATAGTACGTGTTACTTAGTCAAACAAATAGTTGACTAGTTGGGTTTAACATGTTGTGAATAAATTTCTGGATAACTGTAAAGAATTGTTTGAAAGTTTGGCTAAAAAATGATCTGGTGTTAGATATTGAACACAAATAATCAACACACCAGATTTTTATGTTTCAGTGTACAGGGTAGGTGTTTCAGATTTTGAAATATTTAGGTTGAATAACAAATAGATTGTTGCTTACGTTTATTGTTAAATTTGTCGGTTTCAAATGTTAAAATGGAAGATGTGATTTTATTAACATAAAGATATATAGACAAAAATGAAAGCTTAAACTTGAGACTCTCATTTATAGAGTAATAGCTATTGAAATATATGTGGCTTTATTATATATGCAGCTGAATTGGATTTCGTCCATCTTCTAATTTTGTTTGACTTCGTATCAGTGATAAACTCTATTGCAAAATTTTCCTAACTGCGAACTTAAAAGTATGATCATATATTTTAAACTTAAAAATATTAAACCAATTATATTCATTAAAGGGATGAATGTACATTTTTTAAAGTAAAATAAATATGTAGATCTATTAGTCAAAGAAAGTATTCCAATCGGTGGGGATACTTTACACAAAGTTACTCTGTCTAATTGTAGTAGGTCGTATAAACCAACTAGCAGACCCAGCTACGCTTTGCTGGAAAGGCAGAAAATGACAAATGTCTACATTGTGAAATATCGGACAATGTCTCACACACTCTATTGGTATGAGATAGATGAATTGGTGAGAGAAGCCTGCTTGAGAAAGAGCTCGGAAGTAGGGTGTAATCAGTCACGGAACTGGTGGAGGAACTGCTTATGTCATCAGATGGGTGGAGAGCAGTTCAGAGATATGTGAGGAGAACATTGGAGAGAAATTAACAAGAAATAAGGCGATTAGAAGGAAGGCAAGGTGCCCAGGAGCAAGCAAGAAGATAAGGCAGAATGAGAAGGGATGAGATTGGACATGAACAGGGAGGAACAGAGGGAGAGAAAAATTCAGTCGTAGTGAGAGAGTGCTAGAATGGGCGATCCGGCCGGTAATTCACCGCTGAGGAGGGTGTTTTTTAACAGGTAGGTCTCTGGTATTGACGGCGATAGTGTCCGAACAACCTAGCGCGCGACCTCGGATATCATCGTGGCCACGCTGGAGGAGTCCTGTATAACCGAGGCTGGAAGGCGGTTCTGCCCACCTTCTAGGACCGAGGTATGTTTCGAACATTTGGACCCCTCATAAAAGAGAAACATACCAATAAGAAAACTTCATCCCCAATTTAGAAGTTTTTTACAAAGGCATTGCAACCAAACCATTCCTGATGAGTCGACCATCAGAAAGAAAAATGTTCATTGCGGTCTCAAAAAAAATTCTTCAGGAAATAAAATCTTCAATTGGCGAGAAGAACTTCTACATCGTTGTGGATGAAAGTACCGATGCTTGTGGCAGATATATCGCACATCTGATGATTGGAGTACTTCAAGAAAATAATTCTACGCACTCTTAATAGCTTCGAAGAAGTTAGACAAAACCAATAATGTGACAGTATCCAGATTCATACAGCAGTCTCTATCAAGCTTCTTTCTTCCAAACCTAGTGCCAGAAGGAAAGTTGTTGGTGCTTCTATCTGATGCCGCACCCTATATGGTAAAAGTAGGACAGAACTTAAGTATTTTACCCCAATTTGGTGCATGTTACATGTCTTCTTCTTCTTCTTAAGTAATAAAATATAAATAAATATCATGTGATAGTAAATGTAATTATTATATAAACTAAATGATATGTTTAAAAATAATAATTGTATTTATAATTATGACATTTATGACTTTTATTAAATTTTGACAATCGTACGATCGAATCTTGTGTTACAGATTTCTGTAATTTTTACTTCTCATTTAATGTCTATATTTTGTTAATTATTTGTCATGCAGTTTTTTTTAATTTAGACCTGCTTAGAGTCAACATATTTATGATAACTAGAAACGGATTGATCGAGAGTAGTGAATCGATGTCAAAAACCACTATTGTATGACGCTATCCGTGACGACGCCATCTTGTGACGCTAGTTCCGTGACGCTCGCCTTATAATTTTACTGTAGAAGTATAGAAGCTTTGCTTCAAAAATTAATTACCATTAATTGAATTAAAACTATTTGCGGCCACTTTTTGACTTCCTATTCTCAAATGTATATAAAAATATGAGTTTGATTAACTATGTTATGAACGTAATGATATTGAATGTTGTGTTAGTGGATTAAGGTTTATTATTGTTGAGTATATCTTAATATGTTTACATACAAATTACTTTCATATAAAAATACACAAGTTGCTTAAAAAGTTGTATTACTATATCATTTAGTAGTACACATTCAACTACTATGCAATTACTAAATATCTATTAAACACATTATTATACTCCCCCAATTGCAATTCAACTTTTGATTATACCTCAAAGAGGAATTGGTTATTGAATGACATTATTTATTTCTACGCTATGACTATTAAATTCTTAACTAAAGTAAAATTGCAAAAAAATCAAAGAAACATGATTAGAACCTTCTAATAAAACTCAAGGAAAAACATGAAAGACAAATTATTAACCACTATTTTGATTGAAATCTTAGTATTTTTCTTTTTTTATTATTATACATTGAGAAGTATTCAATCTGTTCATCTTTTTATCGTTTATTTAGAATCGTTCTATTTATAATGCGCAATATTTTTTTGTTACCTACTGTTGAGGCGAGACAGCCCTGATAAATATTTTAAACAGATGCGTTTTAGTTTTAGTTCGTTCTAACACCAGATTTTCGGAGTTGGCATCTTGATTTGTTAAAATAAAATGTCAAATTGGCATTGGCAGGCAACCCGTAGTACGAGTGTTAGAAAATAACTTTGACAGAGAAAATAAAACTATTTTTTAAGAAAACGCATGTGATTTAAAGAATTATGGCTGATGAAGACGAAATTGATATTCTGGGAGATTTCCAACTGGATACAGATTCAAATTTGTAAGTTTTATTATAACAAAAAAATAATTTCTATTGCTCATAAAAATGTTATTTATATGGGCCATATTTACAAATTTTCCTTTAGTATGTCTGGCTTTTGATATATTAAATATTCAATGTGCAAAATTTGTTATATATAATTTAATGAATTGGAAATGAATTTAAATATGTTCTTTACTCTACTCTATGAAAATTCTCTGTGTGTTGTTAACAGATTTTTCTACTGATGACTGCCATATTAAAAAAATAATTTGTTTTAGTGCTTCAAACAATGTAAAGGTATGCAAGTAGTTATAGGTCTACACAGGATATATTTAATTTACCATCACCCAGACTCCATAGATTAGAGAAATTGTTTTGGAGAATATAAAAATAACTTAACAATTCACTTTCAGTCTCCTTGTCTTGAATATGTCAAATGTTGTCAGAGGTGGAACAACAATTCAAATATATATATAAAATAAAATACACTGAGACAAAAAAAATTTCTGGGAGGCTTCAGTCATCTGATAAACTTAAACTAAACCAGGATATACTTGCATGATATAAGAAATACTTCATTCCTTAGTCTATACAGCAACTTCCAAATAAATACCTTAACGAGGAAATATGCTAATTCTAATTTTTAATGTTTTTTGAGTTATTGAGTATGAATCCAATCCACATTATAATCCAAGTTAAGAAATCCACATAGCAGTGTATGACAAGCGTGAGTTATGCCTCCACTACACATCGGCACACTGCAGGTGTATCAGCACAAGCTGACCACACATCTAGACACATCTGTAAATCGTCCAGTCTGTGTTAGTTCCCGGGAGACTCAATATCTATACCAAGCATTAAAAAATGGAATGTCACTCTGACCGAAACCCTTTGATCTGTGGTAAAAAACTGACAACAATCAGATATCTTGCAGATGCATCCGCAGATGTGATATATAAACAACAGATGATCAAATTAGCCCATCTACACTTCTCCAGATGCATACATAGATGTCGCCCGCGGACGTGTCTGTTGATGTGTAGAGGAGCCATTATGTAAATACTTTTCGGCTATGTGGATGAGGAATCCACATACCATGTTTTGCGATACCCGCTCAATTAACATATTTTTCAAACTTGGATATTACAGCAATTATATGAATTACCATATAACTGTATTTATAGGATGGTGACCAACGTCCTATAACGATGGTGACCTTTTGTGAAAAATTTCCACTTTGCAGCTTTTGACTTGGCAACGACGATTTACTATTTCATTATTAAGACGCTCCATGTTAAGTGCGAACCACCAGATCATTTTTTTTAAGATTGTCTCACTTTTCAAAGCGTACGTTTTCCCTTTTCAATATTCGACATATGTTATTTTGTGAAGGCGGTGTAGGGATATTAATTGACCAATGGGATTGTAAATTTGCACAAGATATTTTTTCTTATAACAAATAAGTGTATAAAATCATACAAATAGAAGATTGTGTTTATCTTTGCTCACTGAACATGGAATTACTCAATCAATATTATTTTGATCGATATATTTTCTTCTAGGTATGATGGAGGTCCCCTAATATCCCAAAATTCAGAGCTACTCAATTTTGATTACACCATTCATCCGCAATGGCTGCTGGACAGACCAAGTACCAATCCAGACAATTGGTATGACACAAATGTATTTAATAGTACAACTGAGAAATCGCAAACCCCTGAAAATGACGCTTTAGGACATTTGTCAACAGAAAACTGTATCACTGACGAGAGTGGTTGGACTGAAAAAGAGAAAAATCTGCTTGAAAGAGGAATGGAGATTTTTGGAAAGAGCAGTGTAAGATTATCACAGTTTATTGGGTCAAAATCAGCTCCAGAAGTCAAGTATTATTTGAAAAATTTTTACTTAGAGAATCATTCAATTAGAAAAACTAGTGAATGTGCTTTAGAAGGAGATGTGTTAGATGATGCTCAGGTAATTTATAACTTATTTTTTATATATATTTAACATGTTGATCGTGAGTCTAAATAGATATTAACAATTTTTATACATTTTTCGTTTCTTGAATAGCCTGTGTTTACATAAATTGTATCTGCCTATAATTTGTAATATTCTCTTCAACATAACTTTGTGTTATCTCAGTCATAATAAATATACATCATTCATCATAATTCTGGCTTTACAACCCCACGTGGGTCCTAGCCTTCTTAAGAATTTCTCTCCAGTTGTCTCTATCCATCCTTTTCCTCCGGCAAGTATGTATTCCTACATTTCTCAGATGTCTTCATCGATGTTATCAAGGAACCTTGTTCTGTGTCTTCTTTTTCTTCTCTGACCAATGGGTTGAAGCATTTTTCTAGCTGGGCTATTTTTTCCATCCGCCTTACATGTCCTATCCACCTCAGATCATCATCATCATTGGCTCGACTTTTTGCCTGCCCCAGGATTCTTCTCCATTCTGATCTGTTTCCTGAATTCGCATAATTCAATCAGACGTTCTCCGTTATCGTTTTGTTCATCCTCTCAAAATCTTCCCACTGTTCGTAGCTCTATTTGATGTTGAAGTTATTCCGTGAAATGTTCTTTTTCTATTCTCGGGGAATCGTCTGTTGGTGCATATACTCTGAATATCACTGTATCTTTACAGTATGTGTCTATATGCATTTTAATTATTCTCTCCTTGATTGGCTCCCATGTTCTAACCCTGTTCTTCCACTTATTTTTGATTAGTATTCCCACTCCTGCCTTTGCTCTACATTCTTTATTAACTCCGCTCCAGCAGTGGATATGATCTTCTATTGTTTCTGTTCCATTTGCTTTCTTTTTGGTTTCTGTTGTTACTAGTATATCGATGTTGCTTGTACATATGAATGTTCTATCTTTCTTTTCTTTGTTTTGCCATTTTGTTTTTTTCGTTGAGCTTTGATAAAACTGGATCTTTCGAACTCTTCACAACATTGCATCCCCTCTTATCCGATGGTGCTCCTTCCTCTATCAGAAGTGTGGATTTCCACCCGGGGATTTGTTTCCGTATTTGGCTTTTTCATCTTACCATTTTCGTTCTTCTTACCCTTACGTTTTTCTGTGTCTTAGGTTGCTAATTTCTAACGCCACAACTTTTTCTTCAGACCTTTTCTTCAGCCGCCCATTCTGGATCAGACTCTCGTGGTTCTTCCTCCCTCTCGACCATTGTAACTTTTCCAGCCATCCTCTGCTCTCGAGACCGTTGACTGGTTTTTTTAGAGGTGTTACTCCTCTGTCCTTCCTCTTTTATCCGGGCTTGGGAACCGGCTGCATCGGTTATAGAGCTACTCAATTCACCCCATACCAATCCAGACTGAGTTTTATCATGCAGAATTTCGCCATTAGTGTCTTTACAAATTTTTAATCATGGTTTAAACTCTCGATGGGTATTATGTAAGGATTTGTAGTATTTCCTCGTTTCATTTTTATCAAATAAACTTTGTATTTCATTGAGTGTTCTCATCTTTGACATTTAAACCGTTAATTTTGATAGTTGCTTAGTAACCGATATTTCCTTTTCAGATACCTGCTAGCATCGAGGAAGTAATAGCAGCCGTGAGCACAGCAAAACCAACTGTTCAAGTGCACAGCCATAGATCAAGAAAAAAGAGCAATTCAACGTCAATTGCATCAGATCTCAGTGAGAGAGAAGTTATTCGAGATAGATCACCCCTAGTGCCTATAAAAAAGAAGACTAACATCGATTCTGCAGGTATAAAGAATCGTAAAAGGTCCAATTCGGTATTAAGTCAGAAAATGACCTCTTCTAACGCTGTCAAGTTTAAAATCAAGTCAAAATTAAAGGCACCTTTTCCTAAATATGACAAGGTGATTAAACAGAAAACTGTAAAGATTGTTAATGCAAAAAATAATGAAAATGAAATAAAGAGGGTTGAAATAACTACTGGGCATGGTTTGGCTGTACCCATTTGTGAGGGAGAAGAAATAGTAAGTGTATTTTTATAATTAAATAAGATATGGTTGAATGCTCGAATATATGAATTTTACAAATAAAAGGCAGATATTGAGAACAGTTTTTTTATTAAATCTGTCTCCTGTCATTGCCCATAATGTAGTACCGTGAACAATTATTTTAAACTGTTTTCCTTTAGTCTGGTGTTTGTTATTTGTATAAGTGTATTTAAATGTAAAGGCCTAACTTGGGCAGCATTTGGCAAATTGAGCCATATTCTAAATGACCGCTTTTACCACTAGTACCACACTAGTAGCAGGCCTTCATCTGTATTCTCATCTCTCCACACCGGTAGCGCAAATTCATGGACACACGGAAGTAATCTGAGCACAACTCCTTCTCCTGCACCTCTTGTAACTGCGTACAATCACGGCGAAAATGAATATACTTCCAGCACACATTTAGTAGACCTGACGCCTAGTAACCCTGACGTCGAAAAAACGGTGGCCAAACCACACTAGCGCTACCTATTCCAGTGAGCCCAACAATAGTTTCAGTGGAAATCAATGGTCAAATGCATGGCCCCTCTTTAACAAAGAAACACATCAGACCTCCCACTAAATTACTTAAGATTACCAGATTACTTAAGATTAATTAGCTAGTAAATTATACATATTTGCAGCAATAAAAGTAATCATTATTTGTTTACCTTAGAGTTATTAACGGCCTTTCTTCAACACTCAACTTTTTCGGAAATTTGTATCTTTCTTTTGGACGCGAGGTCTGAGTTTTTCAACCAGCTCGAAAAACAGTTCTTTTGATATTCGGTAAAATAATTTAAACTTTACTGGATGTTTGTTAAGTTCTTTAGCAGCAACAAACATTCTGTTTTTTTGGGTTCTTGCAATAAAAGGATGCACCCACCATTTACTTTTTCCAATTTTTTCTATTTCGTAAGTACCAGTACATCGCAATCACATCATCGTCTTCACTCGATGACATTGAACTGAATGTAGTAGATATATAGAAAACACGTTGCTTTGATGGGACCACTCCATGTCGCTTGCTTGTGCCAATCGAAATCGTGTCGCCGTCGCGTCGCTGTTGCGTAGCTTTGGTGGGACAAGGGCCTAACTGTCCTTCGACATGCAAGGATCTGCAGGGGGTGACCATACGGTATATAGCTTCTCATGGCACAAGAATGAACCCCGGGAACAAATAAACAAAATAGACAAGGAGGAGGAGGAACACAGTTTTCATTAGAAAATTATAGCACTGGATCCCATTACAGATCATATCGAAGCTGAAAGGCAACTGTTGAAAAGAAGCCAGGAAACCCCAAATTAATTGAATCAAAACCATGTTGTGGTATCCCAAAAAGCTTCATCCTCAAAAGTACTCGTAGTTCGTCAGAAATCTGAACTCACTAACCACCAACTCCAAATCACAAAATAGCAGATTGACATGAAAACAGATGTGTAAACCACACCTAAAAATATGTCTGTAACTCCCATTATCTGCTCACAATATTAAATGTCATTATAATAAAGAGCTAACCACCTAACATATGGAAGCGAAATCTTTACTAAAAGCATACTACTTATATTTATAGCATTGATGAAACTTATGAAGATTCTTTGACTGCAAATCATTAAGAAGGATGTTTAGGCCAATCCATTGTAATGACGGCATCAGAAAAGTATAGTTGATCTAAAACTCATAAACATCAGACAAAAGACAAGGAAATTAGATGATGGGACATAATGTAAAAATACTATTAAACAGGATAAAATCTCAACGATTTCTAGCTATAAGAGATGAAATAGAAGATCTAATTCTTTATTTATTATTTTAATTTAGTAAATTATTTACAATTTATTTATTTATTTTATGATATATTGTGACATACGCGTAAAGATATGCATGTGTCAATTTGTAACCTGATTTTTAGTGTTCCATGCGATTCTTTATATTTAATTAATATTTCAATATACTTGAAATATATTTTTAATTTCCAAATATTGTATTGCCGATCACACCTCTATAAACTATTAACCAGAATCGCATCCAACCACCTAAAGAATAAGCTCTACTTCTACCAACCTATCGAGCAGGCTGGATTGAAAAAACATTTTAGTGCCATAGCCCAACTTGCACACCGTAAGAACACTGAAGAAACCTACATTCCTATAAACTTGAAGAAAAAGGTATATAACACATTAAGACGATCAGTTTGTATCTGATCTCCATAACCCTGGTAAGACTCTAACCCTTACTAGGAAATCTGCTAAAACACTAGAAACAACGCGAAACACTCTTGCCATATTAGAAACACTGAGACCAGGTGTAGAACGAAGATCAGAGATATCGTGGAAGAAATGAAATGGCGCTGGGTTGGTCATGTAGCCAGATATGACAAAAAGAAGCATGGAAAGACCTTAAAAGAAATGGGTAGATGATATACGAGCAGCGGCAGATAAAAAGTGGATTATAATGGCGCAATATAGAGAAAGATGGAAGCAATTTGGAGAAACCTACGTTCAGGACTGGATGGAAAATGGTTGACGAAGAGAGAAAATATGTATTGTCTGCTAATGTAGAAGTAGTTTTTAGTTAAACGCCAATGTGTGTAGCTGATTGTATTTATGTTTAACTTACATTGGTTCTATTTCCATCATTACAACAATTTACTAAGATTCAAAATAAGAATAATTATTCTTGAATATTATTTTCATTCAATTATTATTTTAGGTTAAAATAAAAAATACTTCTGAAGATTCTGACACAGATGTGGATATAGATGTAGAAATGTCTGATGAAGAATCCAATACGAACAAACAAAAACCACCTAAATCTATCACAGAATTCCAAAAACCAGAAGTTCCAAAGAATAATCCAAAAGAAAAAGTTACAGAAACTTTTCAGCAACCTGTATTACAGACAGAATCAACACATATTGTTGATTTATCTGGGATGAGTGTGGAGGTTGTAAATATACTGAAGAGCATGGAAGAACCTAAGAAGGAGATCTTTTTGAAAGACAATTGTATTATTGAATTGGAGAAAGTGTTCAATAAAGAATATTTCTCAGGCGGCTCTTACAAGACACCTGAAAGATATCTTAAGGTAAAAAATAAATTATTACTAAATACTAATTGGTTATTAATATTACTCATGTTAAGTAAATAGAAATAAATAGTTACATTAAAGAGAAACTACTATACGACAAAGCTGAGTTGATTCGCGATCTTGAGCCAACAAGAAGCAAGTGTGATTATGTTACTTCCATTTTTTTTTAACGCCATTAACAATCCAAGAAACGTTCCTATTCTGTTTAGCGCTCTCCATGTAGGGTAAGGTAATTTGTATTAAGCAGCCATTTCCTCTGAAGAGGAAAGTGTGTTGTGGTAGCTGACGCTTGCCATAGTTTTATTTTGAACATTTCAGGTGCTTCGGGGACGGATCTTGATTTTTTCAGAAAGCTTGGCTAAGTTTGGTGATCATATATGAGGTATCTTCGATCCTTTTCTTGCTTCTTTCGTTCTACCTCTGACGTGACCTGACAGGTCGTGGAGCAATTTCTACTATGGGGTAGATCTCTTCGATGGGCGTCTGTTTTAGGCTACCCGATATTTTATGGACTTTCATTGAGAGCCACGTCAAAGTTTTTAGTCATCATCATCATTGGCTTTTACAACTCTTCGTGAGTTTTTGCCGCGTTTACTATTGCCTTCCATTGATTCCGATCCTGTGCTATTATTTCCCATGGCCTTACTTCCATCTTCTCCAGGTCTTCCCTGACAGCGTCTTTCCACCTTTTTCTAGGCCTTCCTGTCGATCTTTTACCATCTGGTCTTTCCCAAAATACATTGCTAATCAGTCTGTCGTCATCACTCCGTACCACGTGGCCTGCCCATCTTAATCTATTGGCTTTTATGTATCTTACGATGTTGCCTTTCCCGAAGAGAGTCTCTATTTCATTGTTGTATCTGCTCCTCCATTCATTTGTCACGCTGTCCCTGCAAGGACCATATATAATTCGCAGGATTTTGCGTTCCCATACTAATAGCTTATTGATTTCTTTCTTTCTCAATGTCCATGTTTCACTTCCATATGTCACTGCTGGTCGTATTATGGTTTTGTACATTTGGATTTTGGCACGCCTTGAGAGAAGCTTTGACCTTATTAGATGTTGAATGGCAAAGAATGATTTATTCCCCGCCAGTATTCGTATTTCAACCTCCCGTTCTCCTGTGTTTTCACTGGTAATTGTTGCTCCTAGGTATTTGAATTCTTTGACCACCTCAAAATTATGATCGTTTATGGTAATGTTTTGTCTTATTCGCTGTCGTTTCTTTTTTGATACGACCATGTATTTAGTTTTTTCTTCGTTTATTTTCAGGCCTACGCTTAGTGTTGCTTCTTCAAAGTTCGATACTATATCCTTAACTTCCAGTGTTGTCTGTGCTACTGCATCTACATCATCTGCAAATGCGAGAATAATCTTTGCTCCTCTGGCAGTTATGTCTGGTTTGACTCTGGTATATATTTTTCGCATTGCGTATTCCAATGCTAGGTTAAATAGTAATGGAGACAGCGGGTCTCCCTGTCTGAGCCCGGTGCTTATGCCGAAAGCCTTTGAATTTTTGCCTCCTATTCTAATTTGTGCAAAGGAATTGTTGACACACATTCGCGCAATCATGGTCAGTTTCTTTGGTACGCCTAACTCCATCATTGCACTCCACAGTTTTAAGCGATCTATGGAATCATATGCTTGTTTGAAATCTATGAAGATCTGGTGTACTTCTTTATTATATTCCCAATACTTTTCTAGCATTTGTCTGATAGTAAATATTTGGTCGATTGTTGATCTTCCAGGCCTAAAGCCGCATTGGTAATCGCCAATAATTTCCTCTGTATATGGCAGTAATCGTTTTAGTACAACTCAAGCTAATATCTTATATGTAGTACCGATTAGTGAGATTCCCCTGTAGTTGCCACATGTATCCTTTCTGCCTTTTTTATGTATTGGCACGATAATACAGCCACTCCATTCTTTTGGCATTATTTCTTGTTCCCAGGCTTCTTTCATTAATTGGTGTATTTTAGTTCTAAGTTCATGCCCTCCTTTTTTAATCAGTTCTGCATCTATATTGTCTAGTCCCGGGGATTTGTCATTTTTTAGGGTTTCTATCGCCGTGATAATTTCTTCCAGGCTTGGCGGGGGTACTTCTATCTCGGCCGTTTGGTACTCACAATTTGCTTTATTTCCATCCGCGTCTACCTGGACATTTAGCAGACTTTCAAAGTATTCAGCCCATCTTTCGATTATTTTATTTTCAGCTGTAATCATTTGCTCATTTTTGTCTCTCACAAAGTTCGGTGTTCTTATATATGCACCTTTCTTATGTTGTCTTACTTCTTTGTAGAATTTTTTATTTTGCTTGCTTCTGTGTTCACGTTCTACTTTTTCAATTTGTTGTTGTAAATGTTGTCTCTTTTTTCTCCTTACTGTTCTTCTGGCTAAGGCTCTCTCAAAGTTTTTAGTGCAAAACGTAAAACATAATGCTAAAGCAGTGATGCGGGAAGTGGTTATGCCTCCCATTTTGTATTAGTTAATTTGCGAATAATGTTATTTCCTGTGTTTTGTGGGATTCGGTTAAGATGATTTTCGTCAAGTGCTCAAGTGTTTTAGGCCGATTGTTCGAACGCTAATCAAAACTTGATTGTAATCAAATTGATTGTAATCAAATATTTAATTAAAATCAAATACGTCACATTTTGGGGTTATATTGACTGATTTATTTTATTCAATTTTATTATTTTGCGTTATAATTTAAAATAAACCATAATTAAACTCTGATGTTAATTTCATGTTTTCATTTACAAATCAATAATAATTAGCAATTTTTTTAACGATTTTGACAGCTGCTATGACGTATTTGATTGTAATTAAATATTTGATTACAATCAAGTTTTGATCAGCATTCGAACAATTGGCCCTTAGATTATTTGTCAGTGTTTCTTCAATTTCATTGAAGGCTCTTCCCTGAGCTACCACACCTGAATTATCAGCGTAAATAAATTGTTTTGTTTTGTGGTGTATGGGTTGGTCATTGGTGTCGTATTTTTGGTCCTTTCACCGACTGTTCTTGGATTGGAGTTTTACGTAGAAGCGTCTGTTCTGGAGAAGTTTTACCAACCTTGTGAGTCGGAAATCCTTTGTAGTTGCATAAAGTTTTGCCAGCAGCCGTTGATGGTTAACTCTGCTTGTTCTGGAATTATTTTAGTAATCATTCTTTCAACGCCTTAAAAAGATGACACAAGAGAGACACAACGCCTGCTTTTATGAGGGCCACCACTCTAGCTTTCCTTCAGATTTTGACGGTTTTTAACGTATGGTTGCAGCAACTCATTACTCGTACAAGCCACTCTACGTTATTGGTCCAAAGTTCTTTATTTGTTTTGTTCGTATTCCGTCCGCATCAGCCGCTTTATTATCTTTCATTTGGTGGATCGTGTCTTTTATCTCCTCCAGACAAAATGAGGTACCTAAAACATTCCTTTCTTCGACGATATCTTGTTACACTCTCACCTTGTTCTTCCCTGATCTCGACCTACTATTCATCAGGATACAGTGGGTTATCTGATCGGGTGTGACTTGTCAGGTTGGGTGCCGGGGTGGCGGGATCGTTGTCAAGATTTCGAATCAACCTCCAGGTGCATCTGCTATTTTATTTCATGTCTAGCCTTGCCACCAACTTGCAGTAGGCAGATATCGCATGTAGCACGTCCTTCCCTGTCTGTATTGTTGCTTCCGACAAGGAGTCATCCTCATATAGCTTCCCATATATTTTAACTAGGGGCATAGATTCTTCATTGTCCGCTAAGTATTCACTTCGGCAACCTCTAGGAATAAACTTTCATAATATTTGTTTTACTATTTCTACAAACTTATCATATGACCCAGGACACTGCTCCAGATGGGAGACTTCTTGATCCAAGGTTTCATAGAAATTTTCTCATTTTACTTTTTTGAAACTGAACCTTCTCTTGAAAGGAACAGTTTCGTATATGATAGCCGCGTTGGAAAGGCAAGTGATGTGTTGTGTTTTTGGAAGAGCAGTCCCAACGATTTTTGTCACCTGATTTTCAATCCTGTCACTGACAAACAGATTGTCTGGGCTGTAACATCTGCGCCATCTCATCGCCTCTATTAAAAGACGGTTTTGGATCATATACTAATCCTATGAAACACTAGAGATAGATATAGATTCACTGTGTTCCTCCATTATTTCCTTCTTGCTGATGCCTATTGGACCTTCGCGGTTCAACTCAGATTTATTGTATAGTAACTAAAACTAGTTTATTCGATTTTATAAATGACTCCGCTATAGTTGGATGTATGTAAGAGAACATTTTTAGATCCGGACCCATATACTCAATGGTTGGTTAAAACAAAAACCAAAATACTTGAATAAGACTATAAGTCGCCAGGGTTTAAAAAATTTTGGTGATGTCAATTGTTTTGGAAGGATTCATTGCTTTCTGGAACAGATTGGTGCAATCAATTTTGGATGTGGTAAGTTATCTAATACTCACAATCATGGAAATTAATTTTAATGTTATAATGCATTCTATTTCATTTGAAATTATATCACTATTGATTGTTTTAATTGATTATTACTAATATACGGATTTGGCATTAATATTTTTATTTTAAACAGCCTATAACAGATTTTGTTGTCGAGGACGCCGACTATTGTAAATCGGTTGTTCTGCTGCCAGTTGACGTATTATCTTCTATTTAGATAGACTTTAGATCACATATTCCAACAATATTGTTCTGTATTGTTACTATACTCGTTTTCATCATTCTTGGCGTGTGCCTGAAATAAGCTACTACGGAATTTTTAATATTCGTCTCTCTCTGATACACAGATGCGTAATTCAATTGTGCGAGTCACGTTCGTCATGGTAAAGTGCGATGAGAAGGGAATGAAGAGACCACTTACGTCTCCCATCTCTATTGTAGCAATAACACCGATGCGTTTGGCCGATACGGTGTCGGTGATAAGTTCGGCCTCTTTACGAATACAGATAGCTGGCAGTGACGTGTTTTTTTTAACAAGTTACCCTGATCTGTGCAGGTTTGAAGTAGCTGATGAAATAGTTTTTATAAGTAAACAGTTTTTAGTTAACTAATAGTTTGAGCTCTTACTGTGTGAAATTCCATTACATAAAATAATACTCTCGACACCTTAAAAATTCCAGTTTATTATAAATTAACTCTCTTTCTTCCGATGCCCATTGCAATAATGACTTGTGGCATTGTTCTTGAATAAGCTGGCTAATAGGTTTATAATTGTAGCAATTACCATTGATATTTTATGTTGTTTTAGTCGATTTTAGTCAGTCATTGTTGGAATTTGTTCCGAACAGTTTTACTTATTATTTTTTGTTGTGAATAACTAATTGTTCTATTTAATAAAAAAAATGCCAAGAAAACGATAACAGGAGAAATGCGACAATGTGTAGTTCATTTATTGGAGTATTTTAAAAAAGAAAAAGAAAACAACGGACCTTTGCTTTCGTTATCATCGGTACATGAACGAGTAGCGGACGCTTTGAAAATCAGTCTTCGCACAGTGACAAGAATAAAGAGTGAATACAAGACAGGGGCAGTTCATACTACACCAGGAGAGTCACGTAATGTACAAAAAAAAGACTAATGATGTCAGCGATACTATAAAAGGAGATATTAGAAATGTACTGTATGGTATGAAAGCAAAAGGAGAGCATGTTACAATTAAAGTTCTAAATACACAATTAAGAAACAAGCATCTCTATGACGGTTCTGATACAAGTTTATGGCGTCTTATGAAAAATTGTGGGTTTTCATACAAACTAGAAAATAGTAGACGAGTGCTATGTGAGAAACCATGTATTGTCTCCAAACGACTGTATTTTTTGAGGCATTATATGAGAAATTTTTTAAGTCCAAGCCCACTTCAGTTCGTTTTTTTAGATGAAACATGGATATTCCTAAAAGGGGCGTATAAACGTACTTGGCAAGATGACTGTGTGAAAAGCATCAGAAAAGGACACGAAAATACAGGTAAACGCTTTGTTGTTTTACATGCCGGAAGTAGGCAAGCATTTGTTAAAGATGCTGTATTACTGTTTTCTACGAAATCGAAGAGTGCAGACTATCATGATTCTATGGATAAAGAGTCTTTTAAAAAGTGGGTCTCCGAAAAGCTGATACCAATGTTGGAGGAACCATCTTTAATTATTATGGATAATGCCTCATACCATAGCTCTTTAATAGAAAAGTTACCGAATGCCAGTTGGAAAAAATCGGACTTACAAGAATGGTTACGAGCGAAAAAAATAATTTTTGACGACGATTCGGGCAAGACAGAGCTATTGAGTCTTTGTCGCCAGAATAAACCACAAAATACCAGGTATGTTATAGACGAGCTACTCCAAGAACATGGGCATCAGGATTTGAGATTGCCTCCATATCACTGTCAATATAATCCGATTGAGTTGGCCTGGGGCATTTCTAAACAATACTATGATCGTCATATTGGAGAACATGGACGTGAAGATGAAACAGTGAAAAAAGTTTGGGGCGATGCATTAGCTGAGGCAACACCTACAGTGTGGGAGAGTTATGTTAACCATACTGAAAAATTAATTCAGGACGACTGAGCAAAAATGATCACATATGATGAAAAGGAAAGTAGGATTATCATCGATTTGGCGGAAGATTCCAATGATGAAGACAGTTCCAGTGAAGACGCTGACTGATTAGCTAATTAATCAAGGTCAGTACGTTGTAACAGTTCAGAATTCGCTACAGTGCTTAAAACTTAAAAAATCTATATCATTTTTTAATTAAAGTGGGTTAAATAATTAACACTTTTTTGGGTATATTTCAAAATCCTTTTAAAATTGGGTATATTTCAAAACTTTTCGTTATATCCTGTCCTATTGTATTGCAAGCTAGAAAATACTTCTTCGCAATTTATACGTATATTCCGTTATTGGAAATTTAATGAAAAATAATTTATAATTTTCTTTTATAACTATTATTTCGTTTGGCATGCTACATTTTGCTCCGCCACTGGAGGAGGTAAACGAATGGAGCTTAGACAAGGAAAGGCAGATGAAACAACTTATTGCAAGTGTTTTTACACGCACACGCCAAGAACGATGAAAACGATTATACCAATATGTCTATTTTAATATTATTAGGAAATGGGGACTCAGTTCAATATAGATAAAAATGCAATGATAGGAAGGAAGATGTATGTAACACTGTGTCCATATTGTTAAGCATATTTTATCAATGAAAACAAACTTATACAAAGATATTTCCTTCTCTGCAATATAATTTCTTAAAAATAAAGTTCTATTCTAAAAATGCCACGATTAGGATGTTGAAAAAAATACCAGGGGCCAATGTCGGATTTCTCGCTTAGTGGTATATTTTGATAACATCCATTGTATGAACACCTCCTTTGGTTGTAGAATTATTTAATATTTCTGGAATCTTCTTTTGTATATGCATAATTATTCGAATAAATGTTTCGAGTATTTGAAGGTTGCATGTTTGTGGTAGAAACCGGTTCTTTTCACTGTGCCAACTAAACTCATATCCCAAGAATTTAATGTATGAGCTAATTGTAGTATAGTGAAAAGATTGTCGGTGGTTGGTTACGTTTCTATTAGATCCTTTGTATGGATTCATCAAATCGAAAACCATATTTTCCCCAACATTTGCTAGCCGTTCGCCACTTAGTGGCTTTTCAGTATATAATTGTCATTGGAACCATAATATATTTTCCAGGCTTTGAGGGAATATTTTGAGTAAATTTGTATACCCTCGCATCGCTGCTGATCTACATATATATAATTATATATTCTGATGGTTTCTACTCTTTTTTTCAAATTACTGTTTAGCACGGTTCACATGAATATTGAGTCGGAATAATCGTATCACCCAAGGTTGCCAAATGCGTTATGAACTTTACACTAATATCAGAGAGACTGATGTTACTACAAGTAGAAGACAACCCTATTAGTATAAACATCATCCAAGTCTATGCTCCCACTGTAGACAAAGAGGATATAGAAGCAATTGAGTTCTATCAGATAAGACATTCGGGAGAGAAGACTTCTTAGAAAAATTTCGCAGAAGACTCAGAACTAGTTGTCACCAACACATTCTTCCAATTACCACCTCGCAAGCTGTACACGTGGAAATCCCCTCAAGACATACCCGGGAGAATTATTAGGAATCAAATAGACTACATTTTAGTGAATACAAGATTCCGAAACAGCTTTACATCTGTCAAGACTTATCCTGGAGCAGACTTGGAGACAGACCACGTTCCACTGGTGGTAGTATTTCGAGTCAAACTTAAACAGTGCAGAAAAGGAAAGCACAATCATACGACCTACGTATGCTCAATGACCTTGATAAGAGGACGAGAGTCCAAGCCACGTTAAACGAGCAAGTAACTGCAGTTAGAGACGAATCGAACGAAGAACAAACGATCAAACATATTACAGAAATAGTGCAAAATGTAAAGGATAACCACTTAAAGACAGATAGATTAATGAAAAAAAAAAATAAATGGATGACAGATGAGATCCTGAAACTAATGGACGAGAGAAAAGAAGCCAAAAATTAACCCAGACAAATATAAATATATTAATAAGAATGAAAATTAGAGAAGCGAAAGAAAAAGAAGCAAGGGAAAGACGCGAAGAAATTGAGACTCTGCAGTCAATGTACGATAGTCACAATGTATAATACATAGGAAAGTTAAAGAACTCACATGGGGACTAAAACGAAGGCAGAAAGGAAATAGACCTGATTCTGACGGAAACATCATCTTGGACACACAGTAAAATAAGAACGTGGAAAGAATATCTAGAAAAACTATTTGAAGACCAAAGAGATGAGATAACACCTTTGAGCTAGAAGGAGAGGTAAATAATGGACCAAGAATATTACAGCAGGAAGTTTATTCCGCAATAAGGCCCTGATAATATACAAGCAGAACTACTGAAACTAATGGACAACGAATCCATAGCAATAATCGCAAAGATATTCAACAACATATATAACTCTGGAGAAATACCAACAGAATGCGTGAAATCTGAGTTTATTGCACTTCCGAAAAAACCAGGAGCCAAAAATGCGAAGATTACTATACTATAAGCCTCATGAGTCATTTCCTAAAATTGTTCCTAAAGATAATTCATAAGAGAATCTACAAACTGTGAGAAAGTCAAATTTCCTCCAACTAGTTCGGGTTCACAAATGCTGTTGGTACTATAGAGGCTTTGATTCAGTACAAGTCTTATTCCAGAGATGCACAGACGTCAACTGCGACGTATAGGCATGTCTGGTTGATTACGAGAAAGCGTTTGATAGAGTACAGCACGCCAAGATGATGCAAATGCTAAAAGAAGCAGGTATTAGCAACCAAGATCTGAAAATAATTAGAAATCTTTACTGGAATCAGGCAGCAAACCTCAGAGTTGAAGGTGAACACACTGAAGATGTGAAAATCATGCGTGAAGTCAGGCAAGGCTGTATTTTGTCTCCTCCAATCTTTAATCTGTACTCTGAAAGAATATTTATCGAAGCTTTGTACGAAACTGAAAAAGGTATTCTACTAAATGGTTACCGGCTAAACATCAGATATGTAGAGAACATATCTGATGATAAACAACATCAGATATGTAACAACGACGTAGTAGCAGGAACAAGTGACAGAGCATTTAGTTTCTATAACTCAGTTACATGTTTCCTATTTAATTTATGTTACCCAACTTCGATAATAATTCCCAGAAAACTGCCAATTCTTCTTAGATGATGAGCTTGAAAATTTTTTCCTCTGTTCGGTTATTTGTTGACTTTTCTGTTGCTTTTTCTAGTATAGTATGGCACATTTCAGGTTTAATAAGGGATTTCAAAATTTGTAAATGTTTTGCTGAAGTTTGTTGCACCAAAAATACCTTTGCTGTACCTTTGACGTTATCTACTTATAAAATAGTTGCCAGTAACATAAATACTGATATATATTGAACAATATTGATACTTAAAATGCCACTGTTATGTAAAATATATAAAATCATGGACGTATAAACACAGATGGACTCAGTTATTTACATAAAATTGTGAAGTCAAAATTATTTGAATAGGTCACATTCTCAGCACCTTCAACTGTTGTCACGTTTTTTTATTAAAATTTCTTATTCGCGAGTCACTGAAAATATTACTCCGTATTTTATACTCTAAGGTGCTATCGAACCAAAATAATAATTATTGTTATATTAATATATTTAATTGAACCTAATCCAAATATCAAGTGTTATCATGTTATCATTGGAAATACACATAAAATAGGAAGGCTACGTTGGATTGGACATGTGGAAAGAATGGAAGAAGGCGAAATACCAAACAAAATATTCAAACAAGTGCCAGTAGGAAAAAGAACAAGAGGAAGACCGAAGCTGAGATACGTAGAACAAATAGAAAATGATATAACAACATTAAAAATTAAAAACTGGAAAAAAAAGCACGAAACAGGTCAGAATGGAGAAGAATCCTTGAACAGGCCAAGACCCAAAAAGGGTTGTCGAGCCAGTGATGATGATGATCATGTTATCATTATCATTTAATAATAGCGTATAATAGATATCCATCAATTATTTTATATGTAGAAGCACTGAAAACTATTTATAAATGGCAACGGTGTTTACATTTCTCTGTCTTATGGCCTACGTCAAACTTCAAATGCATGTTTGTTTACTTTTTACAGTAGATGAGGAAAAGTTGTTTTTCGATATTTTGGCTGTATTTTGAGTGATATTTGTGAAAAGTGAAATAAACATATATAATAATGGTGCTACAGTTTTGCATTTGCAAAAAAAAACGAAATATTTACATCCCGATCTCTCATTTCATTTGTAAGTACTGTCTGTTTACATTATTTAAGATGAGGAACTGGCGTACCATTGGGTTTATTCATGTTCATTAAAGTATTAAAACTAAGATATGAGTTTATGAAATTAGTCATCATCACAGTCATTAACATCTTAGTAGATGTGTTGTGGTTCATAATTGGGCTTCAGCTGCTCGGACAGTTTGATTGATAATGAAATGAAATAAAAATGAAATTAGTAGACATTTTTAAATTATAAGTAGACATCATGTGATTAAAAAATATCTGTTTAGTACCTTTTTAATTTAATATTTCTCATGGATACAAATAAATTAGTGAAATGAATAAAACTCATTTATTTTTCTATGTAGGTTTCCAAATAATATTGGCGATCGAACATTTGGGTAGCAAATTTAGGAGAAAACGTAAAGGTTTTTTATTGTAGCATTATTTTGATACCTATTAAAAGATTAACTTGAATTCAACTATATTTTATTGTATTAATTTTAAAGCAAATAAAATTGTATTTAAATTTTTCTATAAAGACGTGATTTGTTAATAGTTAAACTCTCTTTTTTTTAATTCTTCGAACGTGCTTTTATACATTATTACTACTTCCAATTTTTAAAGTCTGAATAATTATCCCCGCGAGTAAAAATTCAAGCACGCTTATGCTCATTGAGGAAGCATCACATTCTATTGAAGCTTCAAAACATTGTGTGTTAAAGGTATCTTATTGCTGTGTCCATCTGTGTTTATACGTCCATGTATAAAATATATTATTAAAATATATAGCTTCAATGGTAGTACATATCATTCACAGTCTCAATAAAAATATTAAATTTTGGAACTCTCATAGAAATATGCAATAATATAAATGCAAGTTACATGTTTGTTTTAAGTATTTATATATTTATTACCTACTTTTAGAACAAGTCAATTATGAACGACCTCTACTAGAACTTTTGCAAGAGAAATTGACACCCAAAGAGAAGAAAAGACAGGAAATAAAGTTAGCTTCAAAAGATGTACCGTCTTCCACCAATAGAATCAGAATGAAACCGAAGTTTATTAATGATGGCGAGGGAGGATATACTATGTCGCACGATGAACATGGTCACGTTATAAAGCACACCGTGATTAATGAAGATCCTATAGCTAAACCAAAAGCATATATAAAGAAACCACCAGTTAGATTAATATACTGTCGACCTTTTAAAGATGAAATCATCCAACCTTACACTATCAGGATCAGTTTATCAACGTTATTAATAATGGATTTGCATGCTCACACGTGTTTTACCGAAGTCATGGGCCTTATTGCTGGATATTGGTCTTCCCAGAACAAGATTATGGTCATATGCCATTATGAACCATGCCTTAATATGGCGTCTTCTACGACTCACTGTGATATGTGTCCGATTTCACAAGCTAAGGCAGCCGATGCAATACACGGAAAAGGACTGGATCTTCTCGGGTGTGTATTTTCTTTGTATTATCAAAAACTCATTCTATTGTGTCGATATTTCATTTTAGATGGTTTCATTCTCACCCGACCTTTGCACCTGAACCGTCCAATCAAGATCTGGAAACCCAGCAATATGTTCAACAGTGGATCGGACAAAACAAACCGTGCATAGGAATGATTATGTCACCTTTCAGCTTAAACGGTGCACTTATTGCTTCGCCCTTTAGATGTTTGATCGTCGATAAAAAAGTAAACTTTGAAGACCAATTAGTACCTTATAAATTTAAGGTTGACGTTGTAGCCGACGATTTTCAAGTAGAAAATTTCTTTATCGACCTAAGGAGAATTCTTAGAACAAATTTGGGTTCTGGAGAAAAGCATAGAATTGATTTTCTCAAGCCCTACTTCCAGAGTCCGAATATTACGTTTTTGGAAAAGGTACGTGAATTTATCTAGTTCTTAAACAGCTAATATACACTAAAATATATTTTAATGTTTAATATCTGCCCCATACCAGGGGTCGTATTTTTTTATTCAATCTGTAGAAGTTATACTTGTATACACGCGTTCGCCGTTACAAATTTATATGGGAGTCAATCTGCACAATCATTACATATTTAATGCTATAGGTAAGAGAGAGCAGAAAGAGAAAAAGAATTAGGTATATAGGTATATGGTACATCGTTTGCGTATATAAACATTTGACCTGTAATAGGAGTATAGTAATCAATATTTTAATGAAATTATGTATTTTTATTTTCATATATGTATAAAAGGAGTTGAATGCAAAAAAAAATTTACACATACTCTGCAGTAAAATTCATTGTTTATTTTGTTATTAATATAAAAATTACGATACAATACACTGCAAGATAATTTAATAAAATAATACAATACAAATTCTTCTTCTTCTACTTTTTGTAGATCTTTCGATCTGTTTAATTCTGAAACTGCCTCTGGTTAATTTCTTGGGAGGTAGATTGCCAACTATCCCTCCATCTTTTAGGTGGTCTTCCGGGGGGTCTTGAACCGGGCGGATTGTTTTCTAGGGCAATTTTTGGGAGTCTATTCTCATCCATTCGTCTTACATGGTTGTACCACGTCCTCTTGCGCTGCCTTCCCCATCTTACAATATCTTGAATTTTGCACTGCTCTCTAATGTTTGTATTTCTCACTCTGTCTCTTCTTGTTTTCCCCATTATTGTTCTTAGGGTTTTCATTTCGGCAACCCTTAGCATCTGTTTCGTTTTGTTGGTATCTTCGCGCAATTCTATGCCATATGTCATGATCGGTCGTATGCAAGTCTTATAGATTCTAATTTTACTATCTGTGCGCATATACGGATTTGACCAGACTATCTCCCGCAGACATCCTGACGGTGCAGATGCTTTGTTGATCTGACTCCTCAGGTCCTTTACTGGGTCGTGGGTGCTTGATATATATATGCCCAGATATCTGAATTGCATCACCTGTTCTATGGGGTTGTCCTCAACCACTAACTTACATCTGAGCGGATCTTTTGCTGTTGTCATACATTTAGTTTTGTTGGTAGAGATGTTCATATTTAGTAGTCGGCTTGTTTGAAAGAACTGAAAGAGCTGCCTTTGGAGATCATCTTCTGATTCGGCAATAATTGCTGCATCGTCTGCGTAACACACCATACCAATTCTTTTGTTGCCCATTCTATATCCGAGATTAAGAGATGTTACTTTGTTGATAATTTTGCTCATGAGAAGATTAAACAAGAAGGGGCTTAAACTGTCGCGTTGTCTAATTCCTCCCGGTGTTGGAATATTTTCAGTGAATTCGTCTCCTGCTCTAACTATGGTTACGTTGTTGTTATTTAGGTTATGGAGTATCTTTGTTATACTAGTGGGTGTTTCATTTTCTATTAATATATTTAGAATGTCTCCCAGGCGAACTCTGTCAAATGCCTTCGTCAAATCAATGAAGCAAATATACGCTGGCATGCCGAACTCTATAGCTTTTTCTTTTATTTGTTTTATTATAAATACTGCGTCTGTTATAGACCGCCCTTTTGTAAAACCTTGTTGTTCTTCAGCATTAGTGATTTGCTTTTCCAATTTGTCCTTGAGAATACTCGTGAAAAGTTTCATTGTTGTATTTAAGAGGGTTATTCCTCTATAGTTTTGTGGCAGGTTTTTTGTCCTTTTTTAAATATGGGGATTGTGATACTATTATGCCAATCCTCTGGTGTTTCTGTTTTGTTTAATATTTTGTTAAATAGTTGTGCCAGTTTACTTGCAAGTTCCGGGCCTCAATATTTTAAAAGTTCATTGGGTATACCATCCGTTCCCGGTGATTTTCTGTTTTTTAGCTTTTTGATCTTTGCTTCTAGTTCTTCGTCATTGATTGTAGCACTCACATCTGTTTCGCCTTCGTTTATATTCAGCGTTTCTTCAGCATAATATAGCTCTTTAAAATGCTGTTGCCATGTCTCTATAGGTACTTAAATACAATACAGTACAATACAAATTAAAATGCAATATTCATAAGTATTTAAAACTGCCAATATACATAACTTACTTTACGAAGATAAAAATAAAAAACCAACAAATCGGATTGTGTTGTAAATATTCATTTTATTTTAAAATTTAGCATTTTTGCGTGTATTACATATATTTAATAAGATTAACTTGAGGTTTTTAAATATTTCAAAAATAAAAAAAGAAATTCATATTGGGATTCGAACTCACATATACCAGCGTATGAACCAAACACGTAAAAGATTTGCGAATTAGACATGACACTAACGGATTTCAACATTGACAGTTCTCGGTCATACAGTGATTATTTTGAAATACAAAAGCCTAAAATAATTATGAACATTTAACCTGGCAACGTCCTTAATTATTTTTTTGTGTATGTTTGCTTTTTTTTTCAAAAACCACTAAAGATGGTTTAGAAAACACTAGAAAAATGTTTAAAAAAAATTTTGACAATGCTAAATATTGAATTTACCCCGTATTGAATTAGGAGATATAAGAAATCAAAAATTACCCATTTTTAAGGTGACCGGTTAATTGTGCGTTAGTAGGATTTAATCTCTAATTTTATAAAATGCAAAAAATTAATGCTAAGCATTCTAACAATATCTAAACTTTATATCGCAACTTTAGATTCTAAAGTTGCATTTGCTGTCCCACTCTTTTATATTTTAGAAGCAGTAATAGCCCTGACATGACCTCTCCCTAGTGGTACAATAAGGAACTAAAATCTTATTCAACTTTATATTCTCCATTCGCTTAGCTCGGGCATATTTTGACAGATTCAGTGTCGGAAACCTACAACACAACAATTCCTACTTCTTAGTATTAATAGCTCAATTATACTACTATTTCAGACTTCTTTCTTTAAAAAAAGAAGATTATTCCTAATAGTGGAAGTGTATACTAAACCCATAAAATTTTCCCTGTATATTTAAAATATAATATTTGAGTTGTTACAATTGAACATATTGTAGTAAATATTTGTATTATTTGCGTTCTTTATTTTAGCTAATATAGTTTTATTGTTCCATTATTTTTGTTTAATTCTTTGTTAGTTCTATTTAGTTAATTAGTTAGTTCTATTTTGAATTTTACTATTAGTCAAAGTTTTCCATTTGTTCTATCAGATAATGCGTTGGTAAGTTTTTCTTAAATAAATATAAATATGATAAATGTTCTTTAAAAGTTAATATTTTTAGATGAGTAAGGATACTGTTAAATTACGAGGTAATCAAACTGCACAAAGATTTATTCAAAACAACAACCATTTTTGTTTAATTTTGTTTAATGTTTTCCCATTCGGCGTAGGTGGATCATTAAAATATATTTATAAAATTATGTAAATATGTTCCTAATAACAAAAACATTTCCGTTAACATCTAGTTCAGTTTGACATGGCGTCAAAAATTAAATAAAAAGTTACAGTAATTTAGTTTATATCGTTAAGTTGCTCCAAATGTAGGTAACCAACTTAAACTTTTTGTTAGGATTTAGCTGGAGTTTCTTGAGAATAATTTTAATAAACGTTTATTATTTTCCAGTTAATTTCTTATTTTTTAAAAGTGATGATAATGATAAATAAGAAATATTTCAAATGATATTTAATCACGAAACGTACTTAATATTGTGTTATTGTAAAATCCTCAATAAAGTACGTTAGATAAAAAAGGTAAAATCCCGGATCGTCCAAAACTAATAGTTTCTAATAGGAATAATAGAAGATTATGATTGGTTTTAATTATATTTTTGATGATATTGGATTATATTTTTGATGAATAATATTTTTGAATTATAATATGAATATTATGATACTTTTTATCTAACCTACTTTATAACACAATATTAAGTACATCCTGTGATTACATATCATTTGAAATATTGCTTATTCAGCATTATTATCATCACTTTTAAAAAAATAATATATTAACTGGAAAATATTAAATATATTCTCAAGAAACTCCAGCTAAATGCTAACAAAAAGTTTAAATTGGTTGCCTACATTTAGCGCAACCTAACGATATAAACTAAATTACCGTAATTTTTTTTATAAAACATAGTTTTTATATATAATAGAAACTTACATTCTATATACATGCTATAAATTTCTAATTCATAGTATAAGTTTGCAAAAGAGGTCGACGAAATACTCTAATGAAATGCGCTATGAGCACGTTTACTTGGTTGTATAATAATTTCCAGCCACTTCTAGTCTGTCAAAAAGTAACTAATTTCGTAAAAACATAATTACTAAAATCACTAGACAGTTCGGACTGGCATTAGCGAACCGAGTATACTGGAGTATACCATGTGTATACCCATGATACTATAAACTACAGATAAACCCACGCGCACGCGATCAGTCGTGTGACGTCACTTGGCGACAAATGTCACCAGAAATGTTCTGTGTTGTATGGAGTTTTGTCAGATTTAGTCAAGGTTAGTAGATATTTAAGTATCTACTTAAATATCTACTAACCTTGAGATTTAGTTTTGTTTTATCGTTTATCTTGTACGTTGACATCGGTTTACTGGGTAAACCATCTTTCCGAAGGAGGTTTACTTAAACCATATCCAGATTTTCTAATTAAATGTAATGAACTGGACCATATTTTTAACAATTTTAACAAAGGGTCATTAAAATTAACCAAGAATTATTTAAAATCGCTAATGGATTTAGCTGTGTTCAGATGTAATGTTAGTAAAGGTGTAAATTATATTTTAAAATTAGAAAATTGAATAGATATATTAAAGAAACATCCAAAGTTAAGAACAAGAAAATATTAAAAATTGTAAAATAAATTGTTAAATAAACTTGTAAATTATTACAGTGTATTTTATTTTATCAGTTGTATTAAATTTTTATTTTAATAAATCAATCCATTGTATATAAATTTCCATTTGCAAAAGGATGTTTAGTTCTTACTTTTTTATATAATTTTAGTTTACATTGCTAGGCTAACAGAGATGTATATATAACATATTTTTAAGATTTAATTGCAGATATTTTACCTAACATCCCTTAATATTCTAAATATTTAAATAAAAACCTTTCTTTCCATATATGTTTTACCGACTGTGATGATAAAGGTTGTGATAAAAGTGACTTTTATCACCAATTGACGTCATGCGCGTCGATGTACAAAATTCGATTGCGAAGTGGGTTTATCTTGGAAGTCTTAGTATCATGGTGTATACCCATGGCCTGGAATCTTATATGAATGACTTGGTTCATTCCCCCATCACTTTGACCCCAGCGAGTTAATAAAGAGAAATGACAGCCTATCTCTCTCACGAAGACTTTAACCAATCATAAACCAAATAAAATAATCAAACGAAGCGATGTCAATTCTGTCAATCCAAATTAATGACAGATCTTCCGTTTGTTTACAAGTTTTCAATTTTATTTTATTATCTTTAACTTTCGTTTGCATTTATTCTTAGTAATTTTAATTTAAATTTGGTTACTTAATTTTTAAAGTTTATTTTGAGTTACCTATTGTAGCAAAGAATTTTTGTGTTGTGCTAGTAACAAAACTAAACATGGTGAATTATTGTATTGTTCGTTGTGTACAAATCATGGAAAAATTACAAAAAGAATGATAGTAAGTTGTCAGGAAGCAAAAAATAATAGTATTTAACTTCTGCAAATATGTGTAATAAATATTATGTAATTATTTTATAACTGTTTTATCTTAAACAACAAATAAATATACGTATATCTAGAAAAAATTGTGCATCTTATATCCTTATTTTCCAATAAATTTTAATTAGTAACGAAATAGCCCACAAGAGGCGCTAAAGGGTATGTATGTAAGGGGTGTTCATTCGAATTTGCCGCCAAAAGATGATTAGTATTGACCCCAGCCGCAAGGGGCCTAATGAACGAAATTTATACATTGAGTTGCCTATCTATTTCTACTATTATATTATTTATCTATGTGTATACCTTCTGCCGAGACTAAAAAATGACAGTGAAAGGTCCTTCTATATGTATTTATATTAGGTTTGTTCTAGCAAACAGACAAACTAGTCAGAAACCGTCAGCAAACAGTTGGTCAGCGAGAGAAAATAATACAGTCACCAGCGCTATATCCCCTATACTCGCACTGGTCCACTATTCGCTGATGGTTTCAAACCATTTGAAACTGATGCTAGAACAAACCTAATTAATATTTGTCATTGCTATTATCTGTTAAATAGTCAAAATAAATAAATTGTGAAAATGATTGTATTAAAAATTAATTTATTCCTTTTATTTTTAGTATATCACTAGCGTCCGAATGCACCTAGCCAAATTGGGAACATTGTCCAAATCGACCTGCGAAAATGCTGTTAACGGAATAATTTCGATATGCATGGAACATAGTTCAAAATGAAATTTACTTAAAATCAAATTAATTCGTTCTGTTTACGTTCTGTTTTGTAAATGCAAGAATACTCATTATTTCATTTCCATTTCGTTTGATTTAATTTGTAAGTGAGTTTTTTAAAATTCTAAATAAATAACGGAATAATATGAAGAGTTTATTTCAAAACAAGTGAATATTCAAAAAATTATTTTGAATATAAATTTCGTCCTAATTTAATACAGTATTATCATCTTTGAGGACAATAACTATTTATCTCATATCCCTAGGAGAAAGTGACCTTTGATGGCCCTTCGTCTATGTTGGTCTAGACCATGGCCTGGAATCTTATATGAACGAAAATGCTGTTAACGGAATAATTTCGATATGCATGGAACATAGTTTCAAAATGAAATTTACTTAAAATCAAATTAATTCGTTCTGTTTACGTTCTGTTTTGTAAATGCAAGAATACTCATTATTTCATTTCCATTTCGTTTGATTTAATTTGTAAGTGAGTTTTTTAAAATTCTAAATAAATAACGGAATAATATGAAGAGTTTATTTCAAAACAAGTGAATATTCAAAAAATTATTTTGAATATAAATTTCGTCCTAATTTAATACAGTATTATCATCTTTGAGGACAATAACTATTTATCTCATATCCCTAGGAGAAAGTGACCTTTGATGGCCCTTCGTCTATGTTGGTCTAGACCATGGCCTGGAATCTTATATGAACGAAAATGCTGTTAACGGAATAATTTCGATATGCATGGAACATAGTTCAAAATGAAATTTACTTAAAATCAAATTAATTCGTTCTGTTTACGTTCTGTTTTGTAAATGCAAGAATACTCATTATTTCATTTCCATTTCGTTTGATTTAATTTGTAAGTGAGTTTTTTAAAATTCTAAATAAATAACGGAATAATATGAAGAGTTTATTTCAAAACAAGTGAATATTCAAAAAATTATTTTGAATATAAATTTCGTCCTAATTTAATACAGTATTATCATCTTTGAGGACAATAACTATTTATCTCATATCCCTAGGAGAAAGTGACCTTTGATGGCCCTTCGTCTATGTTGGTCTAGACCATGGCCTGGAATCTTATATGAACGACTTGGTTCATTCCCCCATCACTTTGACCCCAGCGAGTTAATAAAGAGAAATGACAGCCTATCTCTCTCACGAAGACTTTAACCAATCATAAACCAAATAACATAATCAAACGAAGCAATGTCAATTCTGTCAATCCAAATTAATGACAGATCTTCCGTTTGTTTACAAGTTTTCAATTTTATTTTATTATCTTTAACTTTCGTTTGCATTTATTCTTAGTAATTTTAATTTAAATTTGGTTACTTAATTTTTAAAGTTTATTTTGAGTTACCTATTGTAGCAAAGAATTTTTGTGTTGTGCTAGTAACAAAACTAAACATAGTGAATTATTGTATTGTTCGTTGTGTACAAATCATGGAAAAATTACAAAAAGAATGATAGTAAGTTGTCAGGAAGCAAAAAATAATAGTATTTAACTTCTGCAAATATGTGTAATAAATATTATGTAATTATTTTATAACTGTTTTATCTTAAACAACAAATAAATATACGTATATCTAGAAAAAATTGTGCATCTTATATCCTTATATTCCAATAAATTTTAATTAGTAACGAAATAGCCCACAAGAGGCGCTAAAGGGTATGTATGTAAGGGGTGTTCATTCGAATTTGCCGCCAAAAGATGATTAGTATTGACCCCAGCCGCAAGGGGCCTAATGAACGAAATTTATACATTGAGTTGCCTATCTATTTCTACTATTATATTATTTATCTATGGTCTAGACACTTTATTTCCCGGCATGTATCTCCGATTGCCTTACTTGTTCACTGTCACGTCACATCATGCCACGTTTGTATCTAAAGGGATAATCGGGTATAATTTACACGGTAGTAGTTTTAAGGTTATATTTTCATATAGAAAGTTTTTGTGTTACATTAGATTTTAGCTATGATGGCTTCAAGCTAGTACACCTATGATGGCCCAGAACCATCATAAGAATATGCACAGTAGCCATCATAAGAATAGATGTAATAAATAAATTACTTTATCCACTTTTGCCACACGCTTAACTGTCAATAAATTTTTTAAGTATTTCCGTATCAGTTGCGTGCAATTGTCTTATATATGTAATTAAAATTATTATATTGTGGAATATTAGACTTAAAGAGTTATTTCATAAAATTTATATTATTAATAATAACAAATGTTTTTGGTTATTTTATCAATAGGTACAATACTAAAATTTCCAATATAATGATGATTACATTTTTCTGATTATTACACCCTGTTGACACCTATGAAAGATCGAGCAGTTCCGTATGGGTTTCGTATTATTAGCTGTGTTAGGAAAATTTGAACTCAAAGGTTGATGTTCTGGAAATTTTAAACAAAAGTGACGTCACTTTGTATAAATCGTGACGTGCAAGTGTTTTACTTTGAAAAATGGTATAGAAAATATAAAAATAGCAAATAATTAACAAGAACTGTTCGATTTTTGATTTTGTGTGTCTCTTGGCAATAATAATCGATAAGCGTTTCGATAATAATTTTTCATTTTGATTATTTCGAACATTGTACAATGCTAGAAGTGGACAATAATTTCTGTACAAAGCTAAGATTGTCCAATTTCGGACTTTGCTCGTAACAGATATAAGCCTACATTAGCAAATAGCGGAGAAACATAAAATTAACGACCGTTAGAACTCCTAAGCAGATCTGTCACAATAGCACAGGCTTTCAATAAAGAGAGCATTAGGATGTTTTTCTGTTCTATTGGAGAAGTTATGCAAAAATATTAGTTTTCTCCTGAAAATATCTACAATGTAGACGAGACTGGTATGAGTATAGTCCCTACAAATCAAAGCTTCCCAAAATTCTTGCAACATCTTCTTCTTTTTTATATAGACATGGCTCTGACTGTTTTTCAATGTGCCTCCAGTAAGTTGCCATTCCATCGTTTTCGTGGTCTTCCTATTGGGGAACCGTCTCTTGCCGTCTTTACTACTCTATTTGTTGCCATTCCGCTTATATGCTCGTTCCATTCTACTCTTCTATTTCTTACCCAGTTTTTGATGTTCTCCACCTTGCATCTATGTAGTATATCTGTACTTATAGCTCTGTCCCATAGTGTCTTGCCATCAATTTTTTCAAGTGTTTTCATCTCTGCTGTTTCTAACGTCCTTTTTGTCCTCTCTGTGTCAGGTCTTGTTTCTGCCGCGTATGTCATTATTGGTCTGATGACTGTGTTGTAAATTCTGCATAAAATTTTTGTAAAATTTCCTTAATGCTTCCTTTACCTCTTCCTCCTCGATATTTATTTCTTCGTTTGTCATCACCTCTAGTGTTGGTGGTTCATCATCGTCACCTTTAGCAAACAGGGATCGAAAGTAGTCTACCCATGTTTCCTTCTGAATATGTTTCGTTTTTATTAGTTCGCTCATCTCTTTTCTTTGTCCTCTGATCATTCTCTATATTTCTTTTTGTTTCTCATAGAAATCGTGTTCCATCTGTTTTGAGAAACTCTGCCAGTGTTTCTTTTTTATTTGTCTAACTAAAGTATTCGTTTCATTTCTGATTCGTTTATAGTGGTTGTATGCCTGTTGTGTTTGTTTGTTCTGTATTGTAAAAGGGCTTTCTTGTTTTCTTCACATTTTGTCTTCACTTCCTCTCTAAACCATGGTGTTTTCTTTTTTGATATGTTAGTGTTCGCTACTTTCCTATCTCCAAGTGATTCTGTTGCTGCGTTAATTATATTATTTTTGAGTTTTTCCCAGCTTTCCTCGATGTTATCGTTTTCTAATATTTCATTCCCAGTGATCTCTGATATTCTTTTTCTGTATAAGTATTCCGTCGATTCCGTATTTAGTCCTTTGATTCTTGCAACCAAAGGAAGGAAACAAATTGTAATTATTAACAGCGCTGAATATGGACAAAATTATACAGCTGTGTGTTGTATGAACGCCCCTCGTTCCTCTAGCCTTCATTTTTACACGAAAACGATTTAAAGCCGACCTGTACGCAGTGTAGCATTTTGTAAAGAAAGTGGCTGGACGAATACAGAAACATTTGTCAAGTGCCTAAAGCTCTTTGTCTTGCACGTTAAAGCGTCGAACGAAAATAAAGTTCTATTAATTATTGTTGGACATAGTACTCTCAAGTGGTTGGAAGAACTGGAATGGGTAAGGAAAATGGAATTATTTTATATTCGGCCACATTGTTCTATGTAAATATGTTCTATGTAAAGTCTATACAAATTTATGCCGGTATAGGCACGTGAAGCTGCCGTATCACCGGTGATTCATATGGGAGCCAACCTAATTTTGTTTTTATGTATTCGTAGTCTATGCTATTTAGTGCATTGTCTTGGAGAAACAACACTTTTTTCTTCTGCATATGTGGCCGTTTTTACTTAGTTCCTGTTTAAATGTGTTCAATAATGCTATTGATACTTTTACTTTTTTCAATTAATAACCTTTCCGATCCATTGAGCCAATCTTGGCCGTTTCGGAGTACTTTTGCCGGCTTCAGTCTGACCGTGCGTTCATTCTGTTCCCAGATCTGTAGTAGTGGATCCATGTTTCATCAACGGTTACCAATCGACGTCAGAAGTCGATGGGTTCATAAGATTCAAACACTGCTGAGAAGTGGGCACACGATAATGTTTTGGTCAATGTTCAGCACACGCGGCACTCATCAGCACGATAATTTTTTCATGTTCAAAAGTTCGTTCAAAATATGATTATAGTGCCCTACTTATTTGTCATTATATAACCAGTGTATCCCAATGTGCAGTCTTCCAATTTAAAAAATGTAGTAATCCACAAATTATATACAGTAATCGTTTATACAGCCTTTGTTTTTCTATTACCTTGATGTTTCCAGGTAGTATCTATTAGCTCCAATATTTCAACTCTATCTCTCATTACTGTTATAGTTTTGCTTTTAGATCATTTATTTTTAAGGAATATGTATTCTTCTTCTTCTTTAAGTGCCGTCTCCTTTAAGAAGGTTGGCTATCATCACGGCTATCTTCACCTTTGACACTGCTGCTCTAA